CTACAGTATAGAAGACTTTACACCTTGGATAAAAATGATACCATTTACTGATCCCAGAACTCAATCACCATCACAATTACAAGGAACAAAGCCCTCCAACGTGAATAAGATGGTACTGTTATATTCATTGTATCTGAATATTTCTACTCCTTAATTATAGTTTCTAATTAATTTCTAATAATTTTAGTTTGATTGTAATTACATAATTTTTTATAATTATAAATGTTTTATTATTTTGAAGCCCGAGAGAAGTCAAGTAGAAAGTCGTTTAAATCAGATCAGAGATTATATCAGAGTCACTGCAACAATGATAGATTCTCTTGATCAATCCTCTGATCCTGTGAGTATTATTCATATCACAATAATATAGCAAATATTTTATATAGAAATTTGTGTTTAAATTATTTTTCTATATAATAATCCATATTATATCTTATAGCGAGCACAAGCTCAGAGCGAAAAATTAAGTAGAATGGTGGACGATCTTCACGACAGTGAGACAAAACTCTCCAAATTATTAGAGCAGTATCATAACAATGGAATCTCTGACGAGGTTACTAGCCTTTAATGTTTTATCGAGACATAGATTGATTTTGTGAAATATCTTATTTTATGCACATGCAGAATGGCGAAAGAGAAGACATAGATGAATGCGGCGATGCTAGCAGAGAGATGCAATTACGAAGAAATATGGAAGAATATCAAAACAAACTCGCGCAGTTGCAAGAGCAGCAAGCCAGCTTAGCGGATATGCAGATGTGTGTCAGAGAAAGATTGAACAAGGCCCGTCAAGCGCAGCAAGTGCTTTTGCAACGAGAGAATCAAAGTACGCCTAATTCTACTACCTGGGAAGACAACCGTGCATCCCTGCCGAGTCCTGCTAATGTCGAGCAACTTGAGTCGGAAACGGCGGCATTGAGAGGCAAACTGGCACAGCTACAGACCAAGAAGAAACAAATGGATCACCTTGTAGCGGAATTACAAGCCATAGAGACGTCCGATAGAGGCAGTTGTGTTAGTTTTAATTTTCGTACAATACGTATTCACA